AGAGAGGAATCAATATAGAATGAATGAGTACTGATAGGTGACACTTTGGAAAAAAAGAAATGTTTATAAAGCAAAAATGGAAATACAGTGGTAGATTGAAATGAATTAATTAAAGACTAGCCAAAGACTTGGTTATAACTTTCATAAAGATGCTGGGAGGCTGGGTGCAGTAGCTCATGCCTGTAATCCCAACACTTTGGGAGGCTGAGGTGAGTGAATCACAAGGTCAAGAGATCGAGACCGTCCTGGCCAGCATGGTGAAATCCCATCTCGACTAAAAATACAAAAATTAGCTGGATGTGGTCTCAGTTACTTGGGAGGCTGAAGCAGGAGAATCACTTGAACCCAGGAGGTTGAACCCAGAGGTTGCAGTGAGCCGAAATAGCACCACTGCAATCCAGCTTGGCAACAGAACGGGACTCTGTCTCAAAAAAACCCAAAACCCAAAAACCAAACCAAAACAAAATGATGTTGGAGAAGGTTGATTGATATCTTGTCCCTATATTGATTTGCTTTTTCTGAAATATGAACTTTTGACTATGTTGGCTACAATGAAAGCATTGCTCACAACATAACTTATTATAATACAACTATATGCTTATGATGACATTTAACTACTATTTTGTTTAATGTAAATTTATTTCTTGGGGGGATAGGGTCTTGCTCTGTCGTCCAGGCTTGCATGCAGTGGTGTGATCATGGCTCACTGTAACCTCAACCTTCCGGGCTTAATCAGTCATCCCACCTCAGTCTCCTAAGTAGCTGGGACCACAGGGGAGCCCTACTATGCTGGCTACTTTTAAAAATTTTTTTGTAGAGATGGGATTTTGCTATGTTGCCCAGGCTGGTCTCAAACTCCTGAATTCAAGCGATCCCCACCTTGGTCTTCCAAAGTGCTAGGATTATAGGTGTGAGTCACCATGCCTGGCTTACCTGCTATTTTTAAAAAATTACTAACTTTCACAGATTTCAGTAGAATTTGTGGATTTAGGGTAGTCTAACTCAAGGCAAAGCTATTTTTATTTTAAAACGAAGACCTTTAAACTTTCATAAAATACTGCCCTCGTCCCCATCAACATACATCTTTATAGAAGGAGTTCTAGCTAAATAGGCTTAAAAGACTTAGCAGTGAAAGTCCTTTTATGGCAGAGACCATGTTTGTTTACCTATTTTTATTCCTCCAGGGCATGTTATAACCTGTGGGTATTTAATAAATGTGAGAAGTGTATCCATAAATCAATTTGAACTGTCAGGTTCCTCCAGGCCCTTAGAAGGTGGCATGCAATCATGAATAGAGCATGGGCTGTTTTCAGACTGACCCAGATTTAAATCCCAGTTTTGTCACTTTCTGCTTATGTGATCTTGGTAGGAATTTTAACCTGTGCTCTGGTGAGCTCTCATTTTGGAGGATCCTAATATCTATCTCACGGGGCTGTTAACATGCACAAGTAAGAAGATGCATAGAGCACTTCACACAATGTCTGGCACACAGTCAGATCTTAAGTATGGTTGCTATTTTGTTATTAATGTCTTTGCATAATGAAGCTAAAGGAGGCCTAGATAAGAAATATAAGGGAGTTTGATTTAAGCTTTTAAGAGAACGTCCCACTTCAGAGTATTCCTTCTGGAGGCATCAATCTTATGATTCTGTCTTCAAAATATTTTTGCAAAAGTTCTTTGGGACTAGCCACCATGAAGACTATTAAAAGAATGTCTTTAGGCTCTGAAGGCACTTCCGAAAGCGGTTTTATGACTATTTTGGGCAATAACAACTTCTTTGAAATATGTGCACAACATTCTTTTTTTTTTTTCTAACATTTTTTTTAGACGGAGTTTCACTCTTGTTACCCAGGCTGGAGTGCAATGGCATGATCTCGGCTCACTGCAACCTCCGCCTCCTGGGTTCAGGCAATTCTCCTGTCTCAGCCTCCTGAGTAGCTGGGATTACAGGCACGTGCCACCATGCCCAGCTATTTTTTTTTTTTTTTTGTATTTTTAGTAGAGACGGGGTTTCACCATGTTGACCAGGATGGTCTCAATCTCTTGACCTCGTGATCCACCCGCCTCAGCCTCCCAAAGTGCTGGGATTACAGGCGCGAGCCACCGCTCCCGGCCACATGTTATTTTTAATACAAATCAAGTTTGGCATATTTCATGTTTATCATCACTTTGCTTTTGAAGTGGTAATTGTCATGTTCTACTAATACTGAACCACCCTAATGCTGTGTAAATGGAGATCAGAATATTTGTAGAGGCTTCATCATACATAACCCAGCTCCAGGGATACAATAGCAAGAATCAAACATAATTTCTACCTTCAGACAGCTTACAGTCAATTGGGAGAAATAACTATTAGTAAGAGATTATTAGTCCAATGGTTGTTCAAAACACTACATAATAAACTCTCTTAAGAGCTAGTAAAAACTATTAATGCTATGTAAGTACAGTCAGACATCACTTAACAACAGAAATCTGTTCTGAGAAACATTTTTTTGGGGGGTAGTCTCTTGTTATAGCAAACTAACATTCTTGAAGGGAAAGATCTTGTTATTTGTGATATATACATTCTGTACTGTACTGTACTGCTTTTTTTTTTTTCTGATGGAATCTCGCTCTGTCACCAGGCTGGAGTGCAGTGACACCATCTCGGCTCACTGCAATCTCTGCCCCCTGGGTTCAAGCAATTCTATTGCCTCAGCTTCCCAAGTAGCTGAGACTACAGGTGCATGCCATCATGCCCAGCCAATTTTTGTATTTTTATTAGAGACGGGGTTTCACCATGTTGGCCAGGATGGTTTCGATCTCTTGACCTCCTGATCTGCCTGCCTTGCCCTTCCAAAGTGCTGGGATTACAGATGTAAATCATTGCGCCCAGCCTGTACTGTATTGCTTTTACAATTTCGTCAGGTAAGATCATTTTAAAATGTAATCCAGTGGTTTTCAACTAGGGGGCGATTTTGGTCCCCAGAAAACATTTGGCAAGGCTGGAGACATTTTTGCTCGTCACAGCTTGGGGGAGAGTTGCTGCTGGCATTCAGTGGGTAGGCCAGAGGTGCTGCTCAACATCCCGTAGAGCGCAGTTCCTCAGAGTACAGGGTTATCTTGCCTAAAATGCCAGTGATGCCAGGTTGAGAAACCCTGATTTAGGTGATATGTTTATTTAAAAAGTGATCTCTGGGGCTGGGTGTGGTGGCTCATGCTTGTAATCCTAGTACTTTGGAAGGCTGAGGTGAATGGATCTCTTGAGGTCAGGAGTTCGAGACCAGCCTGGCTAATATGGTGAAACCCCATTTCTACTAAAAATACAAAAGTCAACTGGGCATGGTGGCGTGTTGGGTTATTGAATTCCCCTAAAAATAATTTACTACCCTCCTAAAATTATCTTTACTTTACCATCTGTCTCTCCTAAGAGATAGGGTATATAAACATCTGTATTCTGTAATTCTGCTGTGTGTACGCTAACACATGTGTATGCTATTTCTCCCATTAATCTGCCTTTTATCAGTTGTTTTTGCAGCAAAACTTCAGAGGGCAAAGGGGAAGTTTTTCCTTGGCCCCTACATCCTGAAATAAATATGCTAGACCAGGAAGGACAATTTAAATTCAAGTCTCTGTGCAAAAATGTGTCAAACATAAAGTTAGCTGCTCTCTGGTCACATTTGAATTCAAGCAGCATTCACAGCTGTTCATTTGAATTCTGGATACCACCTCCTCCGAAATCTTTAACACATGCAAGACATTGTCACATTATTCTTTAAAATATTTTATTACCACCCGGGCATGGTGGCTTGTGCCTGTAATCCCAGCACTTTGGGAGGCTGAGACAGGTAGATCACTTGAGGTCAGGAGTTTGAGACCAGCCTGGCTGACATGGTGAAACCCTGTCTCTACTAAAGATACAAAAATTAGCTGGGTGTGCTGGCACGTGCCTGTAATCCCAGCTACTTGGGAGGTTGAGGCAGGAGAATTGCTTGAATCCATGAGTCAGAGGTTGCAGTGAGCCGAGATTGTGCCACTGTACTCCAGCCTGGGCAAAGAAATGAGACTCCATCTCAAAAAAAAAAAAAATTACCATTGGCTAACAACCTGTGAAATTTTCTAAAATGCATTTTTAGTTTGCAATACCTCCCAATAAATCTTTCACCATAACCATTATCTTATATGTATACTTAGAATTTCTTAAGAAATGGTATAAAGCGTACAGTCTTTTTCAATGTCACTATGAATGAGCCTTTGTTGGGTAGGTATCTGGTGTCTGTATCTATCCTAATGCTGTGTTTTCTCAGGGCTGGTTCCCTTTTCATTTTGTACAGAGCCAGTCCTTGACAGGTATACTTCTCAAAGTATAGAATGCTGTTGGAGAACTGTATCTTGAAACTAGAATGACTCAGGAAGGGTTCCAGTATTTCCAGAAAGCAGGGTCAAGCATGCTGCATCTTTCACTCAGTGACTTAGAAGAGAGCTGGGACTTGGTGAAGCAGAAAGGTATGGTGCACACATGCAGAGGGAACAGCCTCTCATGTGTCACAGAGTCAGTCTCCTGGTCTATTCCCATCTGTGAGAAAAAGGAAATGGATGTGTGTGTCTTGTTACTTGGTGTTTTTGTTTTGTTTTTGGGACAGTCTTGCTCTGTCACCCAGGCTGGAGTGCAGTGGTGTGATCTTGGCTCACTGCAACCTCTGTCTTCCTGATTCAAGAGATTCTCCTGCCTCAACCTCCCAAGTAGCTGGGATTATAGGCACCTGCCACCACACCCAGCTAATTTTTGTATTTTTAGTAGAGAAGGGATTTCACCATGTTGGCCAGGCTGGTTTTGAACTCCTGACCTCAGGTGATCTGTCCACCTCGGCCTCCCAAAGTGCTGGTATTACAGGCGTGAGCCACAGCGCCCGGGCTATTTGGCATTTTTGGAGGGCTGTTGGGTATATGAGGATTGAACATAACGTGTTCCTGATTCTGATGGACCACCCTTTTAGAATGTCATTGTCTGTTAGGGTATGCTTCAGAGAAGGAAGCTTCAAGCAGTGAGGTGGGAGCATCATAGTTCAACTCCGTAGCCAGCTTTTCTGGGTTCAAACTCCGTTTCTTCACTTATTAGCTCTCAGTGCCTTTAGAGACATTACTTAACTTTCTGGGTCACAGTTTTTATATTTGTAAGGCAGGGATGAAAATAGCATCCACACTGCATATTGCTGTGAGACTGAAAGCGTTAGGAGGCTGGAAAGCACACGAATGGTGCCCAGCACATAATAAGTACTCATTGATGAATGGCAGCCATATTTTGTTCTCCGGTATTTGATGCCTGAGGTCATGTGATACCACTGATATAGCAGAGACGAAGAATGTTGAGTGGATTAGGTATTAAGCGATTTTGACTCACCTATTTACAGGAAGGCTAGCGGAGCGGCCTCTAGACGTGTGCCACACTTGCATGGCTGTATCAGCTTTTGTTGCATATCAAACCATCCCAAAACTCTGTGGCTTAAAACAGTGTTTATATTTGGCATGAACCTATAGGTCAGCTGGGGGATTCTACTGGTCCAGCATGGGCTCAACAGATTTGGGCTGGGCCCAGGAAGGTGTCCGAGGTCAGCTGGCACAGCTGATGGGGCTGGCTGGTCCAAGACGACCTAACTTAGTTTTCTGGTGGTTGTCTGGCTGAAATGACAGTGGTGGCTGGACCATGTGTTCCTCATCCTCCGGGAGGACAGCCTGTTCCTCTTCACTTGGCAGCTCACAGGACTCCAAGAGGGAGAGCAGAAGCCGAGGCTCAGGCTCAGAACCGGTACAATGCCTCTTTCCGCCACACTCAGCAAAGCAAGTCGCCAGGCTGTATCCACCTCTTGATAGGAGGAAGTAGGGAGTAGCGTAGCATGGCAAAAGTTGGGTAAAGACTAGTGTAGAGAAGTGCAGCTGTTTCTGCAACTGGCCCATGGCGAGAAGATCAAAGGTCACCTTGGGCAAGCTACTTACCCTCTCTAGGCTTCTCATCTGCAAGTTCGCTTTGTAGTGATAGTTCTCATTTGTTGAGTGCTTACTGGGTACTGTATGCTGATGATCTCTTTTATCCTCAGACATACCTCACATAGCATGTACTATTACCCTCCTTGTACCGATGAGGAAGCTGAATGTCAGTGAAAGTAAATAACTGAAATGACATCAGCTCCTGCAGCTGTCAGTCTGAAGCTGCAAGTCCAGGCTAGGCTGTCTGACCCCAGAGTATGTCTGGGCAACTCCTTGTTGCACAGAATCTCTTCTAGGCATTTATGAAGCTCTAATCCTTGGTATATAGAGTTTAGCTTCCAAGTTGTTGTCCTAATGCAGGCAAGCCTGGTCGCAGGTCTGCTGGGGCCTTGGTGAGGAGAGGAAAGCACAGGGGCCATCAGGGCCACTTAAGTGGGAGCTGGGCCTGGCCCTCCAGAGGCAGCCGAAGAGTCCAGAATGCAGAGTTCCATGGGGTCAGGCCACCATGGCTTGGTATAGACAAGTGTTAATTTTCAGAGGAGACCAAATCAGCAGGGGTAGGGGAGGGGGTGCCTCATGAAATGGGATGCCAGGGGGTATTGGTGTCATTTGTGGCAGCTTTGATAGGAGCATGCTGTAGTTCTGGTCCCCTGACCAGGGTTAGGTGTGTGCTTATGGCTTAAACAAGCAGATGAAGAGGTGAGAGTGAGGATTTCAGCCTGACCAGCATTCATACACTCAAAAGATGTTTACTGAGCGCCTGCATGCACCAGGTGCTGTGCTGAGTCCAGAACAGCGGCCTAGGCAGGAGCACCAACTCTGCCCTCTAATGGAGGTACTGCAGGAAATGTAAGTGAGCCAACCCGTGAAATGACTGCACGCTGTCAAATGCAAATAAGAAATCGAGCTACAGCATTGGTGTGTGTGTGTGTGTGTGTGTGTGTGTGTGTGTGTGTGTGTGTGTGGTGGGGAGGGAATACTTGTGAAAGGCAGATCAAGATGCCTTCTTGGGGAGGGGACAGTGAAGCTGAGACCCAGTGGACTGTTGGAGCCACATGTGGTAAGGGAGGGGCTGTCCTGGCAGAGGGAGGAGGGTGAGATGGGGAAGGCTGGGCCTGTCCTCAAGGTGGAAGGAAGCCTCAGTGAGCAAAGAGTAGGAGGAAGCTGGACCTCGATTGTCTTGGGCTTTGGGCCTTGTGCCTCGGGCAGGCGTTTAGATTTTATTTTAAGTACAAGGGGAAGCAATTGCAGGGACTTAGGGTAGGGATGACACCTGTGATTTCTGTCTTGAGATCACGTTTGCTGCTGCGTGGAGAATGGATTACATGTTGGGTAAGAGTGGACACAGAGAGACCAGTTTTACACGACTGTCCTGTTCTGTATCCAAGTGGAAAGCATGAGGCCCTGGATTGGGGAAGACAGAGAAGCCTACAGTGGGCACTGGGCAATGAATTAGGTACTACTGATGACGGCAAGAGATGCTACTTGATGATTTCTTTTTTTTTTTTTTTTGTGGCAATTGTGAATGGCAGTTCGTTCTTGATTTGGCTCTCTTTAAGTCTGTTATTGGTGTATAGGAATGCTTGTGATTATTTCTTAATGAAGCCTGAATTCCATAGCACAGGAGTTAAAGCTGCTCTTCCGTGCTGCTAGCAATGCTTTAATAACATCTTCTTGGAACATTATTCTATTAGTCTGCTAGAGGTGCCATAGCAATCGGTGGACCACAGACTGGACTAACAGAAATAAGTGAAACAATACCAACTTATTTCTTGAAGTTCTGGAGGCTAGACGTCCCAGGTCAAGGTGTCAGCAGGGTTGCTTTTTCTCTCTTGAGACCCCTCTCTTTGGCTTGCAGATGACTGCCTTTTCCCTGTGTCCTCACATGGTTTTTTCTGTGTGTTTATATGTATGTGTATGTCCAAGATAACCTTTTCTTCCAAGGACATGCACCGTATTGCATTAGGCCCCACCCTAATGACCTCATTTTAACCTACTTCTTTAAGAACCTTATCTGCAAATACGATCACATTCTGAGAAACTGGGGGTCAGGACTTCAACATGTAAATTTTGAGGGAACTCAATTCAGTCCAAACAATTATTATTTTTTTCTCTTCCCATAACAAAGTGTGGCCTAGAAAACCACTTTCTACTTTTTAGGAGTCTGTATTATTTTCAAAATATTTAACTCAATAAAGGAGCAAAATTACAGGGCCTTTGCAGAGATTACATTCCCAAGACAATGTGTATCTACGTACAATCCATTATTTATTAATTGGGTTTGTGAGACTCATTCATGTGCTTCTTGTTATAAGCCTGTTTAGTTTTATGGTGTCTTATTGCAGGACTGAACTTGCTGCCTTCTGTAGGGCTCAGTTACCATGGTAACAACTGGCTTCATTGTATCCATATTTTCACTCTATTTCTGACCTGTTCATTTGCAGACAAACTCAGAATTTGGTTTCAATCTATTGTCTTGGCTCCTTGGCTCTAAAACTGCTATGCATGCACAAACATGTATGAAAACCAACTTCCATGCAGTATATGTCACAGAGGATTTGTGAAGAAAAACCTGCCTATTGTCAGTGAGGAAATGATAGTAAATGCCATGCCTATTAACATCTTAACTCTTTTGTGGGAAAAACCCCCTTAAGTATCATATTCTTTGCCACATTTATTCCCTGCAGTGCTGAACAACCTGGCAAAGTCAGCACCTGAGGAATACTTCAAAGAAAACCAGGTTTTGGAATATGCAACTGAAATTTCCAACTTATTGGATAAAGTCCCGTGATCAAGCAACCATGAAATACATAGAAGGTGTTCTAATGTAAACATGTCTTAAACTTTTTTTGTTTTATTCTTTTAAGATATTTAATCTATACCTGTTAATCCATTTCCTAACCGATTCAGCTGAGAAATGCTGATGGTTAGCATTTTGATTCTCTAGCTTAGTGGTTCTCAGCCAGCGGCTGTCTTGGGCCCTTTGCCACCCAGGGGACTTTTGGCAACACCTGCAGACATTTTTGTTGTCATGACTTGGGGGATGGTTATTGGTGTGTAGTAGGTAGGGGCCAGGGATGCTGATAAATCACACACAATGCACGGGGCAGCCCCCACAACAAAGATTTTATTCAGCCCGAATGTCAGTAGTGCCAAGGATGAAAATAGTGCTCTAGTTTTTAATTTTTTTTTTTTTTTGAGATGGAGTTTTGCTGTTGTTGCCCAGGCTGGAGTGCAATGGCATGATCTCGGCTCACTGCAACCTCCGCCTCCCAGGTTCAAGTGATTCTCCTGCTTCAGCCTCCCAAGTAGCTGGGATTACAGGCATGCGCCACCATACCTGGCAAATTTTGTATTTTTAGTAGAGACAGGGTTTCTCCATGTTGGGCAGGCTGGTCTCGAACTCCTGATTTCAGGTGATCTACCCGCCTCAGCCTCCCAAAGTGCTGGGATTATAGCTGTGAGCCAGTGTGCCTGGCCCTAATTTTTTTTTAAGAGTCAGGGATCTTGCTCAAGGGATCCTCTTGCCTTAGCCTCCCAAATAGCTGGGACTACAGGTGTGCACTACCATGCCTGCTCATGTATGTATGTATGTATGTATGTATGTATGTATTTTTAGAGATGGGGGTCTTGCTGTGTTGCCCAGGCTGATCTTGAACTCCTGGCCTCAAACAATCCTCCTGCATCAGCCTCCTGAGTCACTGGGTTTACAGGCAACAACCACCACGCCCAGCTCTCTAGTTTCTTTATAAAGATAGACACATTTCTTATCAATCACTTTGAAGTTCTTGCCTCTCTGCTATTATAAATTGCTCTTTTTTATATTTTCCAGGACAGATTTTTTAATATAAAATACAAGATGCTTATGAGAATTATTTTTGATTGCACAAAGAATGTAGTCAACATGCACAGTAAAAAAATGCACATGTGTTTTATTTTCAGGTTCGTTGCCTGAAATACGTCTCACAAAAATGAAACTTCAAGAGTGCTTAAATGTCAGGAAAAGCTTGTTTGGCGAGAAAAACATGCTGGTTGGAGAAGTTATGGAATTTTTAGCAGATTTGCTGTTTTTTTTCTCCAGAGAGATAGTAAAAAGTAAGTTTTTATGAAATGTTTCAAGAAGTGTGTCTGTCTCCCTGACAAAAGTGCCCCCACTAGTGGCAGGGAGGTCTGGGGTTACCCATCAGGGATAACTGGTAATACTTCTTTGGCTCCAGCCCTGCTCAGAAGCCTGAGGATTCTCCGCAGCTGAGAGATCTTGTACTGGTCTGCTTATCAGGATTCTGACCATAATGTAATCCAAAGGAGTTCTTGGAGCTGGATATGGTGACTCACACATGTAATCCCAGCACTTTGGGAGGCTGAGGCTGGTGGATCATTTGAGGTCGGGAGTTTGGGAGCAGCCTGGCCAACATGCGGAAACCTCATCTCTACTAAAAATACAAAAATTAGCAGGGCATGGTGGCGCGCACCTGTAATCCCCGCTACTTGGGAGGCTGGGGCAGGAGAATTGCTTGAACCTGGGAGGTGCAATTTGCAGTGAGCTGAGATTGCACCAGTGCATTCCAGCCTGGGCGACAGAGTTTAAAAAAAAAAAGGAAAAGAGCTCTTGGCTCACACGTGGTGTGGAGGTTCTGGCAGTAGGGAAGGGACATAGGAGTACAGTGTGGTTGTGAGTGGTTCCCAGTGCCTTGTGAGGAAGATGCTCTTACTTCTGCATCTTTCTGCAGCCCTCAGCTGTGGCTGTTGTCTCAGGTACCACAACATCCTGCTCTCTCTTCTCTAAGACCTAGACCAGAGACTGCAGTGCCTCAGGTCATGTTCACCAGCCACCCCTCCTTGCTCAGGGAGTCCTCTTGTTCTCCTGTGATGTGCGGGGTTCCCCTCAGTGCCTCACACAAGACATCTCAGTTTAAAGGACACTTGTAGGTGCTACCCTCCAGACCGACTGAGTGTGAGCACCTGCCAGGGCTGACCGCCGCTTCTCTTAGGAGGTTGCTATGAGAGAAGGTTCTTTGTGAACCCACAGAGAGCCATGCACACACTGGCTTCCACAGCAGATTTAGCTGCCTGAATGGTCAGGGATGCTCTAGGCTACACTATGAAGTTGTGAAGTTTTGTTTTGGTAGCCCCTCTTTCCTCCCACCCCTGACTTTTGTTCCTGGGATCTATGTTTGTCTCAGACTGAACGCATCGGCCCCACCAGGGCCCAGGGCTTCAGCTGCTGTTCCATAAGGTGAGTGTTCCCTGTTTCCTGGCTTGCTTTTCCATTTCCATTTTCCACGTTCCTCCAAATCATTTTCCTCCCACCCAGCAGGTGACCTCTTGCTGCTTTTGCTTCCAGGAAGAATAGATATTGGTCGTCTCTAGCACTTGAGTGCAAATCGATATTAACCCTTTCTAAAAGACATGTAAAGGGGAACTACCTTTTAAAGAGTAGCCTGATTAAGGGAGGACCTAAGGGTGCAATAGCAGGTGCTATATAGTAGTGGTGAGATGGTGGGCTCTGGCTCTGATTGCCCGAGTTCACGTTTTGTTTCTGCCACTTAGTAACAGTGAGAAGTTACTGTTCAGGTCAAGCACTTAACACCTTGGGATCTCATTCATTTCCTCCTTGGTAAAATGAAGCAAGTAACAGTATCTTCCTGGCAGGATCTTTGTGAGGATTAAGAGATCCTATAGGTAAAGAGCGTAGCAGAAAACCTGGCACACACTGAAAGAGTTTGATAAATTGAGTCATTCGTATTTTGTTATTTTGCTCCCCAGCAGGTGTTTTTTGAGACACTTGACGCCACACACGCCTCTTCTTACTCATGTTAAGACCAGCACTGTGAGCAGAGAACAGGACTTCCTTTACAGAAGCAAAAAGCTGGACCATAGAACCGTTATCTTGTAAAAGAAATATCTAAACACTTAGCGTACTGACTGAGTCATCTCTCCTGCCCGGCTGCCCCACGCCAAGTCACAAGCCACTGAGTGCTGCCTGGCTATTCTGCAGGGACAGCCTTGGCGACCATACATGGATGGCTTCCTGCAGGCCTCACTGCCAATGGCCAACCTTCAGAAACAACGGAGAAGTCGGCCTTGGCCTCGTTGAAGGCTATCCTTGGATTATCCAGCGTCTTTCCCATTGGTTCAAACCAGGAGACATTTTGTTGCATAACTTGGCTCACCTCTCAACCACGCGTAGACCCTTTGCCCTGGTGGCCAGGGGCCCTTGCGACAGCACTCATGCACCACGGAAATGATCCATGGGATCCTGAGGGCCTTGTAGAAGGGGGCTGGGTAGAGCTGGACAAATGAAATCAAATTTAAAAGTTAAAGTTAAGAAAGCAGATCAGAGAAGAGTGAACAAAATGTTTGAAGAGGAACAGTGACAGATTCTCAGTGAAATGACTATCATCTACTTTCCCCAACCATTTGGCCATCCATCTGTAGTTCCCCTGCTGTCAGTATCCTGAATGGCAGCTGAGGCTCAGCTTCTTTTGTGGGTTCCTTTTCTTTCCTTGCCTCTGGCCCAAATATCAGCATCCTCTTGGGCTCGGTTCCTGGGCTCTATTCTTGTCTCAGACTGAGCACATCGGCCCTACCAGGGCCCAGGGCTTTAGCTGCTGTTCTGTAAGGTGAGTGGTCTTTGTTTTCGTCTCCTTCTCAGGCCTCTGTCATCATCACCAGCAGCCATGTGCTTCCATCTGTTCACTGGTCATCTCACTTGGGTATTCCACTGGCACTCCAGAGTCAATGTGTTCTAGACTGGACACACCCACCCCTCACCCCCGACTCAGTTCTCCTTCTCCCATCTCACTTGGTGCAGACACCATGGCATCATCTTAATGATACATCTTAGCAGTGTTTATCATCAGTCACTGTGCTGACACATTGCACACATTTTCTCATTTAATCCCCATAACAACTCTGTTATCTGTATTTTTTTTTGTTTTTTTGACACAGGGTCTTGCTCTCTCACCCAGGTGGGAGTGTGGTGGTGTGATCATAGCTCACTGCAGCCTTGAACTCCTGGCCTCAAGTGATCCTCCCATCTCAGCCTCCCAAAGTGTTTGGATTACAGGCATGAGCCACTGTGCCCGGCATATTATCCCCATTTTGAACATGGGAAAGCTGAGGCTTAGGAGGCCGAGATGCTTGCTACCTAGCTCTTAGGTGGCAGGGTCAGGGTTAGTATCTGGGAAGTCTGATTGAAGAACCCCTGCACCTGACCACTGTGGCCCACCACCACATCTGCCCAACTTGAGAGCTTGAGCTCTTAACCACATCACTCTCTGCACGTATAGCAGCCCCCAGCACCCCCGGTGTCAGCACCAGCACATCCAGTGCAACACTACGCCCTAGCAAGTCTCCTGTCGCACCTGTGGCCACTGTGTCAGCTCAGACCTTCATCGATCTTCTTCCTCCAGCCTAACCGGTCTCCCCGCCCGTAGCCTCACCTGCTTCTGTTTATCCTCCACACTTCTGCTGAGGCAGACTCTAAAATGTGCTTTTGATCATATCAGGCTCTTAATGAAAACTCTTCACTGTTAATGTCCAAAATCCTTATGTTTGCACTCAAAGTCCTTCGTGCACTCCTTGCTTCACTCTCCAGTCTCACCTCTACCTCAAAGAAATTCTCAGATGGTAAGGGTTAGTCGTACTCACCTCTGCTTCCCAGTCCTAGTAGCGGGATTCAGTAAATGTTTGTTGAATGAATGAATGAGTACATGGCAATCTTCTTTGATGCAAACTTTAATTACATTTCTCTTTTCTAGACCCCAAAGGAAGCAAGTACTTAAATATTATAAACAAGTGATAAAAATACAGGAAAATGCAGAAACTCTGGCTAAGTCCTCACTCGTCAGGAAGCAGCTGTCAGCCTCAGTGATACATTATATAAATTAGGTAATTGTACCCATCTGTTTCTGTTCTAAGCAGGTGACTTTTCCCTTTGTTTCACCTGCATACTTTGCTTATTTTTAAAACAGCTCCATTTTTGAACCAAGCAACTCCTGTTTCACAAATGTTAAACTTTTTTGTTACCTACGTATGTTCTCCTAGCAGGAAAAATATCTCTTAAAATCGTTTCCATGACTCACGCCTGTAATCCCAGCACTTTGGGAGGCTGAGGCAGGTGGATCACAAGGTCAGGAGATTCAGACCATCCTGGCCAACATGGTGAAACTCCAACTCTACTAAAAGTACAAAAATTAGCTGGGCATGGTGGTAAGTGCCTGTAATCCCAGCTACTCGGGAGGCTGAAGCAGGAGAATAGCTTGAACCAGGGAGTTGGAGGTTGCGGTGAGCCAAGATCGCACCACTGCACTCCAGCCTGGTGACAGCAAGACTCTGTCTCAAAAAAAAATTGTTTCCATCCCATTTCTCATTCTTTTGTAGGCTGAGCTCCTTGCTTGACCACACTGCACACCCCCATCAGTGTAGGTTCTACCTTTCTTCCACCTCTGTTCTAGGATATTGTTTCTACTGTATATGAATAACTTTCCATGCCTTTTCATCTGTGATGCTAAAGTAACATGTGACCAGAAATAACAAGATTGCTTTTCACAAGGGCCCACTCTTGATTTTAGCTATAAGACAGACATAGGTCTCAGCTGTGCGCAGTGGCTCATGCCTATAATTCCAGCACTTTGGGAGGCCGAGGTGGGAAGATCACTTGAGGCCAGGAGTTTGAGACCAGCCTGGCCAATATGGTGAAACCCTGTCTCTACTAAAAATAGAAAATATTAGCTGGGCATGGTGGCGTGTGCCTGTAATCCCAGCTACTCAGGAGGCTGAGACAGGAGAATTGCCTGAACCCGGGAGGCGGAGGCTGCAGTGAGCTGAGATGCCACCACTGCATTCCAGCCTAAGCAAAAGAGCAAGACTCTGTCTCAAAAAAAAAAAAAAGGACACAGGTCTCAGTTCCTTAAACCTGGCTCAGAAGTTTGAAGGCACTTTCTAATTAAAGATAAAAATTAAAAACTTCAGCTGGGTGTGGTGCTGTGCTCCTATAGTCAGCTACTTGGAAGGCTGAAGTGGGAGTATCTCTTGAGCGCAGGAGACCCAAGGTACAGTGAGCTATGATGGCACTACTGTACCCCAGCCTGAGAGAAGAGCAAGACCCCATCTTTAAAAAAATAAAAATATGAACTTAGAATGAGATAAAAGTTAAAAATTGAATAAAAAGTTTGTCCTTCAGTCTTACTAAGAGGGGTAGCGGTTGTGTCCCTTCATTCCTCTTGCTTGTGACTGTTTTGTTCCTCTTTATGGGAGGAGTTCCAATTCTTTTTTTTTTCTTTCTTTTCTGTTTTTGAGATGGAATTTTGTTCTTGTTGCCCATGCTGGAGTGCAACGGTGTGATCTCGGCTCACTGCAACCTCTGCCTCCTGGGTTCAAGCGATTCTCCTGCCTCCACCTCCTGAGTAGCTGGGACTACACGCGCCTGCCACCATGCCCGGCTAATGTTTTTGTATTTTTCGTAGAGATGGGCTTTCACCATGTTGGCCAGGCTGGTCTCAAATTCTTGACCTCAGGTGATCTGGCTGCCTTGGCCTCCCAAAGTGCTGGGATTACAGGGGTGAACCACTGCACCTAGCCCAATTCTTTTCTTAAGTTTCTTTGACCAAAATGTTACCTGTGGTTTATGGTGACTGCAGAGTTTCCTCTTCGTTGGTTCTAGCTCAGTTAAGTGGGATTTACTTACTTATTGATGGCAGTCTTCCAGAGTTGCTCTTGAAGAGCTCCTCAGAGGGCTGCAGGCCCTGCTCTCCAGGCCTTGCTGTTCCCAGGGACCTTATCTCTTACTGCCTTGGCGTTCATTTGGTCCAGTAACCTCTTAGCCTGTTCTGCCAATGGTGTCCACTCAGGAGAGTCTGTCTTTTGCCTGGAGTGTTGCTGCCAAACTTGGAAATTGAGGGGAATGGAGAGTTGTATTAGAGTCTACAAACCGTGCTTGGACAGGAAGCTGGAGACAGGCCACACGCAGCTGGAAGGGCGCAGGTAGGGCAGGAAAGAGCGTGAGCCCCACATGGCAGAGCTTCTCAACCTCTGTTCCTAGAATGAGTGGATTACCAGTGTGTCAAATCGAGACCTCTGAGCCCTTGGGCAGGTGGGCAGGGGTAGAGCTCCGAGACTGGTCATCTCCAGCCGTGTAGCTTTGTCTATTTTAGTAGGCTGTACACGAGATCTCATTTTCTGTAGGTGCCGTACTTGAGAAAATTTAAAACACTCTCAGGGGTCCTGATGTCTCATTGCCACAGGGAGTTTTCTCTGTACTTCAACCGAAACGAGTGATTTTCAACCAGGGGTGATTTTGCCCCACAGGACAAAAGTCTGGAGAAGTTCTTGGTTGTCATGACTGGAGCGGTGGGGGGTGGGGATTGGGGAGATGGGAGTGCTACTGTCATTTAGTGGGTAGAGGCCTGGGATGCGACTGAACTTTTTGCCATGCCCAGGAAAGCCCCTCACAACAAAAATTCTCCAGCATCAAATGTCAGTAGTGCTGAGGTTGAGAAACCCTGACTGAAGCCAGTGACTTGGCCCAGCATGTGTGCTTCTCACCTGCTTTACAAGAAAACACAACTGCTTTCCGTGTAGTCACTTGCTGAGGAGGAAGAAGGCTCTAAGCACCTGCTATCTGCAGGGAAAGAATATTTCAATGTAGAGATTTGGGAATGTGTGTGTGTTCATTTTTTTTCATTAAGTCTTTCTAGGCTGAAGCAGTTTTACAAACAGAAAATACAGATACAAATCTAGAGGAAGTTTATGGGCAAAGAACTAGTATATTTAATCTGGTTGTTTCATGTAATATTCTGTTATGTAACAGTTTTCGTGTCTGGTCTGTGAGGGAAGGATAATATATTCATGTACTTTCACATATGAAGGCATCTGTAATAGTAGCAATTGCAGTATTTATTTTGTGACTTCTTAAATAAGTCTGCATTTCAATTTTGCAGTAAATATTCAAGGTAGTTATGACCAAGTGTGCACGTCCTCTGACAGCCCCCTGATGTCAAAAGTTAATCCTCATGGTTTCTAGTTTAAAGGGTATGTTTTTTTATAGCAATAAACCTAAAGGACTCTTTAAAAAAAAATAATAATAAATTGGCCAAGCATGGTGGCTCACGCCTGTAATCCAAGCACTTTGGAGGCCAAGGTGGGCGGATCACCTGAGGTCGGGAGTTCAAGACCAGCCTGACCAACATGGTGAAACCCCGTCTTTAAAAAAAAAAAAAAAGAAAGAAAGTGTTTTTATGTGAAGAGTCATCTCTTGCCACTATCTCCTGCTGTTGATTGAAGTTGATTCCTTTAATACAAGGTCCACTTCCGGCTCGCAGGAACACTGCAGATGGTTGGTCCAACTGCTAATGTGAGCTTTGTATGCTGTTCGTTCAATCGGTGGTGGCGAAAGCAGACCAATATCTTTGGTGCACAAAGATAAGTGTGGAGGAAGGGAGAGTAGTCTGTTTATGGAGACCTCTGAACCAGCTGACCTTCAACATGTAACAGGTATTTTTAGTTTTCCTACCTTTAACGGAAATTTTCTATCTAAATGGAAATGTGCCTGAGTAGACTCCATAAAATAAGAAGTAAGCCAGAACTGCATATTGCTGGGACTCCTCACCATTAATCTTTTTTAAAGATGTCTTAGGCCGTCTGCAGTAAAAGTGTTACCAAACATTAGTCCTCACAGCAGTTCATTCTGAGGTCAACAGCTATGTACTTTTCAGGGGAGTTGGATTATTTTATACTATGTATAATATATTATGCATGTATAATTATGTATACTATGGTATACATATAATTACACTGCATTATTCAGCAAGCCTTTAGATACTTTACACATTGTAATGCATACCAGAATGATATGGTGGTATTATCTTACCCAACTAGTTTGTTGATCCCGGTGTGGTTTGGGAGAATTATTATCCTGTAAAGAAAAACAATTCAGCTGGGTGCGCTGGCTCACACCAGTAATCCCAGCACTTTGGGAGGCCCAGGTCAAAGAATTGCTTGAGCCCGGGAGTTGAGACCAGCCTCTGAGCAACATGGCAAAACTCCATCCCTGCAACAAATACAAAACATTAACCGGGCATGGTGGCTCTCACCTGTGGTCCTAGACATTCAGGAGGCTAAGATGGGAGGATTGCTTGGGCTAGGGCGGTCAAGGCTGCAGTGAGCCAAGATCCTGCCATTGCACTTCAGCCTGGATGACAGAGTGAGATCCTATTTCAAAAAAAGAAAAAAAAAAAAGAAAAAGAAAAACAATCTATTCCCCTGACCCCCACCACCCACTTGATGTACACAGCATGAAGCCACCCACATGAAGGCAACTGAAATCATTGCTTGCATCTGCCTTCATGAGTTTGGATTGTGGCTCATATATAAAACCATTAATATTTGTTTTCTTTGTCTGCAGCTTGTCTCTATTGTGGGGCAGATCCTTGGGTGCTTTGCAGGGGACCTACCCATCACTTTGAAGTGGTCCCCTAGGTTATCCAATGTGGCTTTTATTTTTTTGAGATGGAGTTTTGCTTTTATTTCCCAGGCTGGAGTACAATGGTGCAATTCCATCTCATTGCAACCTCCACCTCCTGGGTTCAAGCAATTCTCCTGACTCAGCCTCCCGAGTAGCTGGGATTACAGGCACCTGCCACCAAGCCTGGCTAAATTTTGTATTTTTTTTGGTAGAGACGGGGTTTCACCATGTTGGCCAGGCTGGTCTCGAACAACTGACCTCAGGTGGTCCACCCACCTCAGCCTCTCAAAGAGCTGGGATTACAGGTGCGAGCCGCCGCACCTGGCCCAATGTGACTTTTGTGAATGCCGTATGGCCTGTATTTTAATTCGTCCCAAACGTACCTTCTGAATTTGGTAAAAATCTGTCATGGTCTTTTCTGTATGCA